GAGGAGCCTTGACTTGAAGGGTCTCGGTTTGCTCTCTGGCTCCCTGGTCCCCACCCCACCCGCCCCAGGTTTCAGCAACCCCCAGTTTCGTTGTTTTGCCGGCAGGGCGGAGCTATGCAAGGGTTGAAGTTGTTGTTTTCTGATGTTGGAAAAACAAGAATGGCACCTCCTCTTCCGTGAGTGGGGCTGCCTTGAGAAGGCTGAGATTAACCTGAGGGCCAAGTCCAGGTGACTTCAGAGTGAGAGGCCTCACGGAGGCTGGCTGGCTGCCTTCCCACAAGATAAGCTGGTCCCCAACTTAGCCAGTTTCTCTTTACCGAGGCCCGGTCAATTCAATTAACATGTGGAGCATCTACTATGTACTGTACTATTTCTTGAGCTGCAGGTGTGGGGGAAAGGACAGTTAGCCCTAGTTCTCTCTCTCCTACCTTCTGAACATCCTATCCCGTGAACTCGCTCCTAGACCCAACTTCTTCCCTTCCCCCATTCAGTTGTCTAACTTCAGACAGAGGCTAGATTTTACTTCTCTATACCCCCATTCCACGCCGTCTGAGCCCATTCCTCTGGCTGTCTCTGGGACTAGGGGCACCTGGAGAGTTCTGGGGCTGGTGTACTTCGAGTCCCGTTGATCTCGCTTCACGCCCACCCCATCTCATCTTGGGGTACAGCCAGGGCCCCTTCCCCAGAGTGGGAGTGGGAGAAACCACCTGTGCTTCCCCCACAGTTGCTGGGCCTAAATTTAGCCCCTGGGATCTTGAGGCGTGAACACTCCCAGCTGGTGGAGGGGGTGGTCTGGAGACTGGAGGGGGAGGTGCCAGGGGAGTGACCGGATCACTCTTCCATCTGATTGTGTGCTCTCTCCCCCTCTGTCCCCCCCAACCAGGAACCCAGGAGTCCGGGATTCCCACCACCCTCCCCGAGAAGCAGGGAGCAGGCATGGTTGAGTCTCTCTCTACCCTTTATCTCTATCCTGCAGCCTCTGGGCATCCGGCCCTGTCTCAAGCCTTGTATAGCCCCTTTGTCCCCTTGTGTGTGTGGCTGGGGCAGTGGAGGGGAGACTTCTGAGGGGCTGCATGTTCTTGCTCTGTCCAACCCCAGTCTGTGCTCTACATATAAGAAGGGCTCTGACATCGCTCCTCTTTGAGCTTAGGTCCCACCAACAGGCAGTTCTTGCTGCTTCCTTGCCGCCGGTCCCCAAGTTGCCTGGCTCCTCCTGGGTAGTTGTTTATACTCCCGTCCTGCCCAGGCCCTTTGCCCCTGTTTGTGAAATATGGACTTTGCCCTCAGGGTGGCAGGTAACCGAGACCTGTAAGGCCCTTGCAAAGCATAAGACGCAAGGTGTACAAGGTACTGTGGGCAGATGGGATGCGCTGGCCACTTGTGATACGTCTCAATACAGACTCCAGGCAGGGCCAGAGCGATATATGTTTCTGAGCCGGGGAACTGTGTACATGTTGGTGCACCAGTTGTGCACGGTGTGGCAGTGCTCAACACACGTACACACCACTTCCCTATACAGAGATCCTAGCTCCTCCCTTATCTGGGAGAAGGGTTGGCAGAGGGGTGTCCTGCCAGGAAGGGGACAGGGGTGGGGCAGTTTCAGAAATGACTAACCTTCCTAGTCTTTCACTTCAGCCCGAGGACCCTGGGGTTCCCAGGTGCCTCTGGGAGCCTCCAGGCTGTTCATGCCTCCTTGCTGGGAATAGCTCACTCTTTCTGTTATGGAGACTGATAGGGAAGAGGGCTTTATTTATTTATTTATTTATTTATTTGTTTGTTTATTTATTTATTTATTGGTTTTCCGAGACAGGGTTTCTTTGTTTAGCTTTGGAGTCTATCCTGGCACTCGCTCTGTAGACCAGGCTGACCACGAACTCACAGAGATCAGCCTGCCTCCTCCCAAGTGCTGGCCTAGGGATAAGGATCTTAAAGAAGGGGCCAGACCAGAGGTGTATGTAGCAGGAGGAGCTGGGGCCTCTGCTCTCTCTCCCACTGTTATGCTCTTGCCCTGCCTCAGGGAAGGGTGGTGAAAGCAGGTGGTTCGCACCCCTACCTCTACCCTCCCCATATGCTCTTCCTCTGTGTCAGAGGAAAGATCCATAGAGCACCAAGGACCAAGACTTCCCTTTTTACAAAGGAAAGTGAAAGCCTGAGACTGGAGTGTACTGGCCACTCTTCTGGCTCTCCCCTGGAGCCATCTCTCCTGCTGAGGAGCATTGCCACTGTTAGAAGTCTTTAATGAATCCTGCTGACAGTGAAATTGGGAAGAAGGCTTCAGAGGGTGTGAAGGGTCTGTTCTGTTTCTCTCCGGGGCTGGAGAGGTGCTGGGGGAGCTGGAGCATGTTGGCTTAGGGGAAGGGAGTAGAAGAGAAGCCAGAATTCAGGAAAGGGGAGGTCGCCAGCTCCTTATCCAGCTTTGGAGACAAAGCTCCCATTGACCCCCACCCTACTACCAGGGCTTGTCCCTGAAGTGAGGTCACTTGTCTGAGCCCAAAGCTCCGGGGTAAGAGGGGGGTGCTGCTGAGGATGGGGTGTCTGGGATAGGGTGGGGCAGCCCCCTCCTCCTGGATAGAATCGACTCATTGTGGGCTGAACTGTGTGGCCCCAGGCACTGCCCCCATCCCACCCTCTGTAGACACAATAGGGGCTGTGTGCTAGCCCCAAAGAGATGTTTATTCCAGGGCCTTAGAGAGAGGCAGGATGGGGGCAGAGAAGTAAGTGCCTTAGTTGACGAGGAGAGGAGAGGGCAATCAAAGTTTGATCCCTGCCTAATGTGTCCTTTCCAGGGAGAGGAAAAGTCCCCTGATGTCTTCCTTCTGTATTAACCCCTCAGTGCCCAAATTAGTCCCTGAAAGAGGTCCATTGGGGACCCTGGTGAGGAAAAGCACACATTTCACCTTTCTGTTTGGAATGGCCAGGGGATCGTGGAAGTGAGGAGACCCCAGCCTTGGAGTTCTAGTGGGCAGGGTCAGAGGCAACCGAATGTAACTGAGGGCAACTGAGGGGTTTATATAGAGGGGACATCTAGCTTACCTGACTGCCCCACCTCCATTTTTACAGTGTGTCCTGGGACTCTGAATGGGCTGAGTGTGACTGGCGATGCCGAGAATCAATACCAGACGCTGTACAAGCTCTACGAGAGGTGTGAGGTGGTGATGGGCAACCTGGAGATTGTTCTCACAGGACACAATGCTGACCTTTCCTTCCTGCAGGTGCGGTGCACAGCCCCTCCCTCAGCCTGACTCCTCTTGGTCCCTCCTGCCTTCCCCTAGAAAATGCCTCCCCTTTCTCAGGACCACCCTCTGCTGCACTCAGGAGCTCTGAAGGCTCAAACCTCTATCCTTAGGAAGACAGTGACTATAGTGGGGGGGGGGGGTCTGGTCCTGTAACCAGGGACGTGTAGAAGCTGGTCACAAGAAAGAACAGGTGGTGTTCTAGTATACAGAACTATACAGTAAGCCACCCAAGGACACAGAGGCATCTGGAGAGATGAGGAAGGGACTAAGCTAGAACCTTCCTGTTATGAGTGACTCTGAGAAGAAATGTGGACCCTCAGTCATCTCTGTGGCCGTTTGTTCACGAAAGTGGCACAGTGGTGTGACAGCCTACTCCCTACAAATTAGGAACTAGAAGGAATTCAGAGCTGGGGTTCTAGCTCAGTGGTGGGCTGCTTGCAGAACATGCTTGAGGTCCTGGAATCAGTGTCTTCCTCCCCCTCCCCCTGAGGCTGGGTACAGTGACATGCACTTGCAAGCTCATCTCCTGAGGAAGCTGAGGTAGAACAATGCCCAGGAGTTCAGGGCTAATGAGTTCAGGACTGGAGTCAAAGGGCCACTGTGGCTCAGTGGTAGAGCACTTTAACATTAGGATAATAATAATAAAATGAGTCAAGGGTTTCTTTCTCGGTGCTTTAAGGGACAGAGGGGCCCGAGGCCTTAGCCCCTGTCCCTGTCACTGATGTGACCTGCTCTGTCACAGTGGATCCGAGAAGTGACAGGCTACGTCCTGGTGGCCATGAATGAATTCTCCACGCTACCCTTGCCTAACCTCCGAGTGGTACGGGGAACCCAGGTCTACGACGGGAAGTTTGCCATCTTTGTCATGTTGAATTACAACACCAACTCCAGCCACGCTCTCCGCCAGCTCCGCTTCAACCAGCTTACTGGTTAGTGTCCGTGATCCCTTCTGGTCTTGTCCTCTCTGCCGACAGGCACATCCTCGATGACGACCTAAGATAGCTCACTCTAAGCTCATCTGCTCAGCTACCCACTTCCGTGGTGGCCTAAAAGCCCACCGTGCTTTAAGCAGTAGAGGGCCCCAGGAGGGATCTGGGGGCATCTGCTGCAGGAGGGAGGGACTTTGTGTGACTGTGGGGCTGGAATCGGATCTGTTGCCCATTCCTCCAACTTTGAAGTATAAGAGTCTCTTGATATCCCTCCTTCCCTGGGATCTTGTCTTTGCTCCGACCAGCTGGAAGAGCACAGTGGGTTAAACACCACCCAGGCGCCCTGTGCTCATCCCCTGCTCTCTCCTTACACTCAGGTAAACCCGGGAATGAATCAGGATGTCCTGTCCTCCTCTCTCTGCCCCTCCCCCACTGGCTAAACCGGATCTAGACAGGTGTCTGAGGAGGCAGGAGTTTCTTTAGCCTGGCTCCTCCTCTGCTAGCGAGGGTCAGCCAGTTTTTCCTGAAGCCTGAATCTGATTGGACCACCTGTCGGTCAGGCCCATGATCCCCCTGGGTCTGAGTGTCCTTTGGATTGGTAGGAAGGTAGAGAGGAGGAGTTGTGCTGTGGTCTCCAGCCTGTGGCCTTTCTTCCCACCACAGAGATTCTGTCAGGGGGTGTCTATATTGAGAAGAATGACAAACTTTGCCATATGGATACAATCGACTGGAGGGACATCGTGAGGGTTCAGGGTGCTGACATTGTGGTGAAGAACAATGGTAGAAACTGTAAGTGGTGGTGATCAAGATGGCCCCGCTTGCCCCCAGCAAACCAAAGAGACTCCTTTCCCATCCCTGCTAGATCCTTTATCAGAACCCAGCTCCCCCAGACAGTTTCCTCAGGCCCTTGACCCAAGAGCCTGCCTCCCAGGAGGGACCAGGTCAGCCTCCTGGAGCTCAAACTAGTGTGTCCAGAGAAGAGGCCAAGCTTGTCTGGATGCTAAGCAGGGAGACCAGAACTCTGGACTAACCCCTGTTGTTCCTGACAATATGACATCTCTGCTGCTCTGACCTAGTCTACTCAGGCACAGGATCTGTTTGTCTGGGAGGAACCAAGTTCCTGGGATGACACTGGGGCTGAGGTTGGCATCTGCCCCAGCCCCTCCCTTTCAGCTGCCCAGTGGGTAGTGTGGGGGAGTGGCTCCACCCCTTGTTGACAGGTTCACTTGCGCCCAGCCCTGCTCTCCAAGGGCAGGGAGGGACACAGCCCAGGGCTCTTGCTTCCTGGGATTGAGGTGTTTGTGTGCTGACATCATACCCTGTTGTTTCAAGTGAGCCTTTCTCAGTCAGCCCTGATGGTCCTGTGTGTTGTCCTGTTTCCCATCCAGGTCCACCCTGTCATGAGGTCTGCAAGGGGCGATGCTGGGGGCCTGGCCCAGAAGACTGCCAGATATGTGGGTTTGAATTTCCTTCTAAAGAGTTCAAGCTCACACCCTCTCATACCCCTACCCATGCAATCCTGCCTGTGCCAATCCTAACCGTTAGAATGGGCGATGGCCTCTGAATTCAGCCCTGACTGCCAGGCTTTCTCTCTTTTCCTAGTGACCAAGACCATCTGTGCCCCTCAGTGTAACGGACATTGTTTTGGGCCCAACCCTAACCAGTGCTGCCATGATGAGTGTGCAGGAGGCTGCTCTGGGCCCCAGGACACAGATTGCTTTGTACGTAATGGTACTGACTGTCTGTGATCTGAAATGGGGGTATAGGCTTTGGGGAGCAGTAGAGGTATATAGACAGTATAAATGTTAGCAATCTTTTTTTTTTTATCCTCAGGCCTGCCGACACTTCAACGACAGTGGAGCCTGTGTGCCCCGGTGTCCACAGCCTCTTGTGTACAACAAGCTAACATTCCAGCTTGAACCCAACCCCCATACTAAGTATCAGTACGGAGGGGTCTGTGTGGCCAGCTGTCCCCGTAAGTGTTTGAGGGGAAGGGACAATAATAGTGGACCCAAGATTCTAGAAACAAGTTTGGAATGCAAAATTGGGTTGTTAGATGTTAACTAGGGGAACCTAGATGTGATCATGTGACCTCAACTAGTGAGTGACTTCTATGTCCATGCTCCTCACTGCTTCCCCTAGACTTCTAGCTGTGGCCAGTTGGAACAACAAATGGCAAAGGGGGCTTCGAATGCAGCTTAGCTGACAGAGTGCTTGCCTAGTATGCACAAGCCCTGGGTTTGAGAACTCCAATACCATAAACTGGGCAAAATAGTGTGCTATAACCCCCAGAGATAGAGATGGGGGTAGGGAGGATGATCAGAGACTCCTGGTTATCCTCAGCTACATGAAGAGTCTAATGCCAGGGCTAGAAACACAGCTCAACAGCTGAGACCAATTGCTGCCCTGTATGTAGTACCCATATCAGGACTCAGCCCCTAGTACCATTATCAGGCAACCCATGGTAGCCTACAGTTATAGTTATAGGGGATATGGCATCCTCTTCTGGACTCCTTGGGTGCCAGGCACAAATGTGGTACACAAAATAAATTTTGTATATATACACAAAATAAATAGGAAGCTGGAGAGATGGCTCAGTGGTTAAGAGCACTTGCTGCTCTTCCAAAAGACCTGAGTTTGATTCCCAGCACCCATACAGGGGTATCTGATGCCTCTGACCTTCAAGGGTACCCATACACACACAGACTGATGCACATACACATAATTAAACATAACAAAAATATTTTTTTTTCCTTTTGGTTTTTCGAGACAGGGTTTCTCTGTGTAGCCCTGGCTATCCTGGAGCTTACTCTGTAGACCAGGTTGTCCTTAAACTCAGAGATCCACCTGCCTCGGCCTCCTGAGTACTGGGATTAAAGGCATGTGCCATCACTGCCCTGCTAATTAAATTATTTTCTAAAAAAAAAGTTTGAGACCATTTTTTAAATTTCCTTATTTATGTACTTTATATATATGGGTGTTTATCCATATGTACATTTGCATACCAGAAGAGGGCATTGGATCTCATGGGATTCAGATGGTTGTGAGCCACCATGTGGGTGCCAAGAATTGAACTCAGGACTTCTGGAGGAGGAGCCAGTGCTGTTAACCCAATGAGCCATCCCTCCAGCCCCTAGAGGGCATCTTAAAAACAAAGAGATGTCTAATTTATAGGACAGACCTGAGAAACCCTAGGTTGTAGGTGGGGCAAATCCAGTGCAGGAGAAACGGGTGAAAAGGAGCAGTCTTAGAAGTTGGCAGTATAGGGGCTGGAGAGATGGTTAACAGCACTGGCTCCTCCTCCAGAGGTCCTGAGTTCAATTCCCAGCAACCACGTGGTGGCTCACAACCATCTGTAATGAGATCTGGTGCTGTCTTCTGGTGTGCAGGCATACATGGGGGCAGATTGTTGTATACATAATAAATAAATCCTTAAAAAAAAAAAAAGAAGTTGGCAGTATATCTAATGGTGATTTCCTCTTTCCTAGATAACTTTGTGGTGGATCAGACATCTTGTGTCAGGGCTTGCCCTCCTGACAAGATGGAAGTAGATAAAAATGGACTCAAAATCTGTGAGCCTTGTGGAGGGTTGTGCCCAAAAGGTGAGCTGGAAGCAGTGAGAATTATACCCACCCTTTTCTCTAAGGTGACCCAGGACCCAGCACTGAGACTCTTGTGTTTTACAGCCTGTGAGGGGACAGGCTCTGGAAGCCGCTACCAGACTGTGGACTCCAGCAACATTGATGGGTTTGTGAACTGCACCAAGATCCTGGGCAACCTTGACTTCCTCATCACAGGCCTCAACGGGTGAGAGACTCTGCTCTCCTGCCCTACTACCCCCCCCTCCCCTCCCCACAGCCCCCACTGGGGGAGAGCCTCTGCTCTCCTGCCCTCCCCCCCCCCCCCCCCCCCGCCCCTCCGCCACACAACCCTTTCAATGGCTTAAACCCTCCATGCAGCTGACTAGAAATGTAAGGCATTAAAAACTCTTAGGTGCTACAAAGGACCTGAGAGAATGTATAACTCCACCTTCCACCTGGAGCTTGCATCCCTCAAGGGGCATCCCCAAGCAACACAGTATTACCCTGAGGAACGGTATGTGCAGGGACAGTGTAGGCCAGTGTGTGGACCAGCTAAAGTTTTCTACAAGTTCTTCCTTAAATCTAAATAAGAGGAAGCCAGAGATGTAACAGTTTACAGAGACAGGTTAACAGCTGTCTATGTCTCTAGCACACCCACCCACACACCCAAAAAATGATGAAAACAATTGTCTATTTTTAATTTTTTTACATTTATTTGTTTATTTTGTTTTTTTGAGACAGCGTTTCTCTCTGTGTAGCTTTGGACCCTGTCCTGGCACTCACTCTGGAGACCAGGCTGGTCTTGACCTCACATAGATCCCCCTGCCTCTGCCTCCCAAGTGCTGGGATAAAAGGTGTGTGCCACCACCGCCCAGCTGCTTTTGCTGATTTTATTCTATGTGTATCCACATTTTGCCTGCATATGTCTCTGAACCATGTGTGTCCCTGGTGCCCACAGAGCTCTGAAGAAGACACTGGATCCCCTGAAACTGGAGTTAGGGATGACTGTGAGCCATTATGTAGTTGCTAAGAACCAAACCCAAGCCGGGCGGTGGTGGCGCACGGATCTCTGTGAGTTCGAGACCAGTCTGGTCTACAAGAGCTAGTTCCAGGACAGCCTCCAAAGCCACAGAGAAACCCTGTCTTGAAAACCCAAAAAAAAAAGAACCAAACCCAGACCTTCTGCAAGAGCAGCTAGTGTTGTTTTCTCCAGGCAGGGTTTCCCTGTGTAGCCCTGGCTGTCCTGGAACTTGATCTGTAGACCAGGCTGGCCTCAAACTCAGAGATCTTTCTGCTGCTACCTTCTGAGTGCTGGGATTAAAGGCAAGTGCCATCATGCCCAGCTACATATGTTTTTGTTGTGTTTTGTTTTTGAGCATTGTTTTAAAAAATCATTTCTCTCTTTTCCTCCCTATACACACAGGCACGTACACCTTTACCTCAGTTTTGTTTTGATTTGTTTTTCCAGTGAGATAAGGTCTCCATATGTAGTCCAGTTTGGCCTTCGACCTTGCCACCCTTGTTCAGCCTCCTAAGTTTTAGTGCTGACATTGTAGGCGTGTGCTTTCACCTTTGCCCTGTCCTTTTCCCTTTTTTTTTTTTTTTTTTTTTTTTTTTTATGCTGTATGGGTGTTTTGCCTCTATATATGTCTGTGCACCGTGTGCATGCAGTGCCCGAGATGACCAGAAGAGGGCGTCTAATTCTATGGAGCTGGAGTTACAGACAGTTGTGAGCAGCCCTGGGCCATTTCTTTTTTTTTTTTTTTTTTGGCGAGAGATGCTCCGGCCGCATGTATTTGTTTGTGTTTCCCACACCACCAGCACCTCTCCAAGGAGTTCTGTTTCCTTAGGATGAAGACTATGATTTAGGAGCCAAGAGGCTGGGTTATAATACCACAGCTTGCTTAGCATATTTAAAGCCCTGGGTTTGATCCCCGGCACAGCAGGGAAAAATGACATCTGGAAACTGTGTTTTGAGGTGTGATGTGTTTATTACCACTGAGTCATGCATGCCTCTTCTTTGTTGAAAAGTTTTCACTATTCCCCCAGAGACCCCTGGCACAAGATCCCTGCGCTGGACCCAGAGAAGCTCAATGTTTTCAGGACGGTCCGGGAGATCACAGGTGAGGAAGATCAAAGACTTCCTTTGCTGGAAGGAGCAGATGACCCACCGACATGCATTATAGTTAAACCACTTAAGAGAAGTCACACTCGAGGACTGGAGAGGTGGCTCAGAGGTCCTGAGTTCAATTCCCAGCAACGATATGGTGGCTCACAACCATCTGTAAGGAGATGTGGTGCCCTCTTCTGGCATGCAGGCATACATGCAGGCAGAATGCTGTATATAAATAATAATAAAAAAAAAGTTACACTCTTCTGGACAGAAGTGGCGCACGCCTTTAACCCCAGCACTCGGGAGGCACAGGCAGATGGATCTCTTTGAGTTTGAGTCCAGCCTGGTCTTCAGAGAGAGTTCCATACAGCCTTCAAAACAATACAGAGAAACCCTGTCTCGAAAAAAAAAAGGAAAGAAAAAAAAAAGTCACACTCCAAGGCACAGTGGGACAGTGACAGGGAACCTGAGGGCAGGAGAAGACTCCCTGCTTATATGCCTCTCTCCAACCCCTCAGGGTACCTAAACATCCAGTCCTGGCCTCCTCACATGCACAACTTCAGTGTGTTTTCCAACCTGACAACCATCGGGGGCAGAAGCCTCTACAAGTGAGTAAGGTGGAGGTGATATCTTCTCCAGACATTGCGATGGGCGTCTCCTTATGAAACACAGCGCGTCTCCCAACCAACAGCCCCCAGTAGTCTGCTAACACAATGGGGGGGGGGCAAATGTGGGGTTGTAACCTTAACATTGCAGAGGCTGACCCAGGAGGGTCACAGCAAGTTCAAGACCAGCTTGGGCTGCATAGTGAATTCCTGACCTGCCTCAGAGATGTAGTAAGATCTGTCTCAGAAAACAATCCCGCCAAAAGAGGGAATCCCTCTCCATGGCTCTAACTTAGCCTGGAGCAAATTTGTTGAGTGGAAATAAATCCCACTTTCCCTTTATAGTCTGCCTTCTAATTCTGCCTCCTTATTCCAGCCGGGGCTTCTCCTTGTTGATCATGAAGAACCTGAATGTCACATCCCTGGGCCTCCGGTCCCTGAAGGAAATTAGTGCTGGGCGTGTCTACATAAGTGCCAATCAGCAGCTCTGCTACCACCATTCTCTGAACTGGACAAGACTGCTCCGGGGGCCTTCGGATGACAGACTTGACATCAAGTATAATCGGTCTCCGAGAGAATGTGGTGAGAGGAAGGGCCTACCAGGAGTAAGAACTGGTGGTTGGGGAGGTGAGACCCTCAAAGTGGAGTAGGCTTGAGGGATGGAGCCAGTAAGGACGTGGGACGTGGCAGCAATGAAGAACTGTTCAGAAGAAGGCTTCCTGGGAGTCCTGAGTCTTTTCTTAACCTGTCTGTTCTTTTCCAGAGGCAGAGGGTAAAGTGTGTGACCCACTGTGCTCCTCCGGGGGATGCTGGGGCCCAGGCCCTGGCCAGTGCTTGTCTTGTCGAAACTACAGCCGGGAAGGTGTCTGTGTGACTCACTGCAACTTCCTGAAAGGGTACAGTGTGGAGGATGCCAAGAGGGTGGAGTAAGGCCCAGGGATGGATGGAGGAGTTCAGGCGCTAATGAACTGTGATTTTCACTCTCCCTTCCCCCCCTCCTCCCACCCCCCACTCACTCTGTAGCCCAGACGGGCCTTAAATCCTTCTGTCTAAACCTTCCAAATGCTGGGATTACAGCTATGAGCCACCGTGTCTGGCTCGATCGAAGGGAGCAAGGGAGTGAGGGAGTGGGGGCAGGGAGAGACAGACAGACAGGACCTTATAGTCTTGGCCTGGAACTTGCTATGCAGGACCAGACAGGACTCAGAGATCTTCCTGCTTCTGCTTCCTGAGCGCTGAGGTTAAAGGTGTGCATGACCACATCTGGTCCTCTATTTCTTTCTTGTTTGCTTGCCTGCCTGCTAGCTTTTGTTTTTATACAGGGTCTCACTCTGTAATCCAGGCAGGCCTTGAACTCATGGAAATCTTCCTGCCTTAGCTTCCAAAGTTCTGGGATTACAGATGTGAGCCACCACCCCTGGCTTTGTAGGCAGCTTTCTGCTTGTGTCTTGGTGGGCATGAAGCAGAAAGCCCTTATTACAGAATAAGGGCATGAAGGTCAGAACTTTGGAAGTGACCTCCCTCTGTCTGTCCCCCACTGCAGGGAGCCTCGGGAGTTTGCTCATGAGGGTGAATGTTTCTCCTGCCACCCAGAATGCCTTCCCATGGAGGGCACCAGCACGTGCAATGGCTCGGTACAGTAGCAGCCTTGGGATCTGTGAGGGAGATGGGCAATGTCTACAGAATGATATGGCCAAATTCCCAGGGGAGCCTGAGAACCCTGGGATCTGTACATGAGAATCCTGAAGGGATAAAGGCTGGAATTAATACTGAGATCTCATTCTCCACAATCCTCTTCTACTCAGGGCTCTGAGGCTTGTGCTCAATGTACCCATTTCCGTGATGGGCCCCACTGTGTCAACAGCTGCCCCCATGGAATCCTAGGTGCCAAGGGTCCAATCTACAAGTACCCAGATGCTCAGAATGAATGTCGGCCCTGCCATGAGAACTGCACTCAGGGGTGAGTGATGGGATGAAAAGGAGGTGGGGGAGTGGGGACATTTAATTAGGATGAGGGGAGAAGCAAGAAGAGAGGTTCAGCTACTTAAGACTCACTTCCAGGGCTGGAGAGATGGCTCAGTGGTTAAGAACACTAGCTGGTCTTCCAGAGCTACTGAGTTCAATTCCTAGCAACCACATGATGGCTCACAACCATCTGTAGTGAGATCTGGTGCCTTCTTCTGGCAGGCATATATGCAGGCAGGACACTATATATATAATAAATAAATAAATCTAAAAAAAATTCACTTCCAGCTACAGAGTAAAGGACTGGAGGAAGAGAAACTCACAGCACGAAAGTAGACCACCGTTAGGGGAAGCTAGAATAAGCTCGGGAGTTTAATTCAAGAAAAATTGTAGTGAGCCAGAGATGGGGAATGAGATACTCAAGAGGGGTGGGAGTGGAGTCTCCTCTGTTTAGGAGCTCAGTTTGGGGCTCCCGGTGCCACAATAGGTTTGTTCTGAGAGAAGCTTTTATATGTAGAGGTTCTTGGACCTGAGTCTCTATTGTCTCTTAAAAAATTACTTTTAGGGCTGGAGAGATGGCTCAGAGGTTAAGAGCACTGACTGTTCTTCCAGAGGTCCTGAGTTCAATTCCCAGCAACCACATGGTGGCTCACAACCACCTTGAATGAGATCTGGTGCCCTCTGCCGGCATGCAGACAGAAGACTGCATACATAATAAATAAAATCTTTTAAAAAATTACTTTTATAGGAGTTGCATGTAAAAACAATTACTTTATAAATATTTATTGTGTATATGGGCACAGTGTGTGCATGTGTGCTATGGTGTGTGTATGGAGATCAAATGACAACTTAAGGAAGTTGATTCTCTCCTTCCCTTATATGGTTTCCAGGGATCAAACTCAGGTCCTCAGGCTTGGCAGCAAGGACCTTTACTGCTGAGCCACCTTGTTGGCCCAAACCTCTATTGTCTACCCACTAATAAGGTGGTTTTCTTTTCTAGGTGTAAGGGACCAGAACTACAAGACTGTTTAGGCCAAACAGAGGCATTAATGAGGTAAGATGAACTTGGAGATTGTGGAACCCAGGAATATTTGGGAGAAAGACTGCTATTCATTCTGCTTTTTTTTTGGGGGGGGGGCTGGGATCAAAGGTGTGCACCACCACTGCCTGACTCATTCTGCCTTTTGAAAAATGTTATGTGTATGGTTTTATCTGCATGTATATCTTTGCATGACTTGTTTGCCTAGTCTCCTTGGATGCCAGAAGAGGGCATGGGATATCTTGGAACTGGAATTATGGATGCTTGTGAGTCATCGAGTAGGTGCTGGGACTCGAACTCAGGTCCTCCACAAGGGCAGCCAATGCTCTCCAGTGTCCCATTCTGCCCTTGTTTTAAAACTTATTATATGTATATATTTTAAGATTTATGTATTTATTTTGTATACAGTGTTCTGCCTGCATGTGTGCTGGCAGGCCAGAAGAGGGCACCACATCTCATTACAGATGGTTGTGAGCCACCATGTGGTTGCTGGGAATTGAACTCAGGACCTCTGAAAAGAACAACCAGTGCTCTTAACCTCTGAGCCATCTCTCCAGCCGCTATTTTTTATATTTTTTGTTGATTTTGCTTTTTGTGCTGGCTGGCACAAAACTTGTTATGTAGACCAGACAGGCCTATAACTCAGAGATCCACCTGCCTCTGCCTCCCTAATACTGGGATTAAAGGTGTGTATCACTACATCTGCCTTTTAAAATAATTATTTATTTTTATATGTGTGAGTAATGCCTGAAGGTGTGTGTGTGTGTACCATGTGGGCCTGGTGTTGGGGAAGGCCAGCAGATAGCACTGGAGTCCCCTGGATCCGGAGTTATATATGGTTATGAACTATGATGTAGCTTCTGGGAACCAAACCTGAGTCCTCTGAAAGTGCTCCTAACAGCTGAACCATCTTTCCAGTCTCTTCCCTGCTACCCCTGCCTTTTTTTTTTTTTTAAGATAAAGTCTTATTTTATTTATTTATTTATTTATTGGTTTTTCAAGACAGGTTTTCTCTGTGTAGCTTTGGAGCCTATCCTGGCACTCGCTCTGGAGACAAGGCTGGCCTCGAACTCACAGAGATCCACCTGCTTCTGCCTCCCGAGTGCTGGGATTAAAGGTGTGCGCCACCAAAGCCGGGCTCAACTTTTTTATTTTTAATTACATGTATTTGTGTGACTCAGAAGAGGTTGTCAGATCCCCTGGAACTGGAATTAAAGGTGGTTGTGAACCACCATTTGGGTGTTGGGAACTGAACCCAGGTCCTCTGCAGGATCGGCCAGTGCTTCTAACCTCTGAGCCATCTCTCTAAATCCCCCTCACTACCACCCTTTAAATAATATTTGTTACTTATTCTTTTTGTTTTGTTTTGTTTTGTTTTTTGTTTTGTTTTTGTTTTTCCAGACAGGGTTTTGCTGTGGCTTTGGAGGCTGTCCTGGAACTAGCTCTTGTAGACCAGGCTGGTCTCGAACTCAAGAGATCCGCCTGCCTCTGCCTCCCGAGTGTTGACATTAAAGGCATGCGCCACCACTGCCCGGCCTTTTTGTTACCTATTCTTTGGAAATTTAGTACATTTATATAATGTATTTTGATCATACCAATCCACCATTATCTCCCACTAGGTCCCCCTAATGCCCTTAGCGTGTCCCCTTCCTGATTTCCTGTCCTCCTTTTTACTATCACTATTAATAA